GCGTCGTTGGGGAGAAGCTTGGCTTGGCGGCATTGGGTTGTGAGCTGTTTGCGGACGTCCTGTATGAATTTCTTGTTAGTTGTGGGTTGCCAGAAAGAGTGGATGGAGGGTAGTCTTACCATTACGGATTGCATGGCCCGGTGGGAGACCAGATGCCGCTCAGCCCATGCCTTTCTATCGGTATTCTCTGCTGCGTAGGCCTGTACTGTAGCGAGCATGGTGAGGTGGTCGCCCTCTCGTCTGTAGAGATCCCGGCGCGCTACTTCGGCTTCTTCTTTCTTTTCCTCTGATGTGATGTTCAGGAAGATGTTCTCGACACTGAGACAGGAGATGATGTCGATCACGTCTAACAAGCATTCTGGGCCGTATTCTGAGGCTGCGAGGAGCACACGACCCAGTGTCGGGGTAAGAGGTAGCTTGGCGATCTGCAATCCGATTTGGCTGATCTTGCCGGTTTCCTCTAGGGCTTCAATGCTCAAAAGCTGGAGCAGTGCCTTCTCGAGTGCCTCGCGCGGGGGCCGTGTCAGGAAAGGAAAGTTCATAATGTCGTCAACACCACGGGCTTTCATGTTGAGCAGGGCTTGACTGATGTCGCAGCGTAGGATCTCAGGCGTGTTGACCTCGTCCAGAGCTAGGTAATCTTTCTCTGTGTAGAGTCGGTAGCATTGACCTGGGGCTTCTCGACCGGCACGACCCTTACGCTGGATTGCAGCTGACTTGGAGATGGGCTTGACTAGCAACGAGTCTAGTCCGAGACGGGAGCGGAATTGCTTGACCTTGGCCTTTCCGCAGTCCACCACAAATCGCACTCCTGAGACTGTCACGGAGGTTTCTGCGATGTTTGTAGCGAGGATGATCTTGCGGGTCCGTGGGGGAGCAGGGACGAACACTCGCTGTTGAGCTGCTTGAGGGAGCGCTGCGAAGAGTGGGAGTACTTGGATCTTGGGCAGCGCCGGATCCATCCCGGTTGCGTACTCGTTGACGAGGTTCTCCAAGGCCTCCACGGTCTCTTGACCAGTCAGGAAGACCAGGATGTCACCAGGGCACGGCTCCTTGTAATGGATCTGGAAGATGACCTTGAGAGCTGCATCAACAAAGTCATGCACTGGTTCGGGAGAGTAGATCGTTTTGACGGGGAACTGACGTCCCTTGATATGGCACACAGCAATATCATCCTCACTCTTCTGGTCTGCCGAATCTCCATTTGTCTCCTTCTTCGCTGCTTCAATCGCACGGGGACTACCCTGGAACCCTTCCTTGAAGAAGCCCATCAGACTCTCCATATCCGCCGTAGCACTCATCACCACGACCTTCAAAGGCACACCACCCCGTCCTTCCCTCTTTCCCGACACCAAGTTCCTCAGAAAACCAAGCACCTGATCAACATTGACACCACGCTCGTGCACTTCATCCACCACAATAGCACTATACTTCGTCAACCACGGATCATGCAGCATCTCCTGCAACAGCATTCCCTCCGTCAAAAATTTGACCTGCGTACTCGGCGACGTCGACGTGTCAAACCGAACCGAATACCCAACCTTACTCGCAGGCGATGAATTTCCCAACGGAGTCCCCATTTCCTCTGCCACACGTCTCGCCAACGAAATCGCCGCCACTCGTCTAGGCTGCGTGATGGCAATACACCCTCCAACAGGAATCTCCTTCTCCGCACCATCACTGTCCCGCACAACCGTCTTAGCTGTCCGACACCATTTCTCAGTAACCAGAAACTGAGGAATCTGTGTACTCTTTCCGCTACCCGTCTCACCAACCAACAGCATCACATCGTTCTTGCGCAAGTGGCCGCGGATCTCATCGCCATGAGGGAAGATAGGGAGGTTCTTGCGTTGTTGGTATAACGCTTGCGCCTTTTCTCGTAGCGGCGTGAAATTGGTGTTTTTGGATTTCTGATGCTTATCTTTTCGTTTTCCATCCTTCATTGGCTTCTGCGGTTGTGATTCTTCTTGTTTCTGCTTCTTGATCGCTGGCTTGTCGTCCGACCCGGGGCCGGTTCCGTTCTGCTCAGGCTGAGGGGGTGCCTCCATGTTGAGATTCTCGGGCTTGTCCCCCTTCACGATAAATCCATTCTCATGCTTCCGCTTCTTGTTCTTCCGCTTGTGGTCGTCTTCCTTGCTGTGGACCTTTCGCTTCGTGACGGGTGCGGAGTCGCCTTGTTCGGCTTTTTGCGACGACGGTTTGCTAGGGGCGGGGACGGCGTCGCCCTCGTCATTAAAAACGGTACGGACCCTCTCCGGCATGGTGAATTCGAGTAAGGGTGTATTAGAGAGAAGGATACGGGATTAAGGGCGTAACGTCATGTCGCAAGACAAGTTGGGGATGGGGAACTTTTGTTGTCGGCGGAGTTGCGGATCCCCGAAATTTTTTGCTTATCGATAAGCCGGCTGCTTGGCAGATTGTCAAGACCTCCCAAAGTATAGTACCTGTGTTCTACTTCTACTGATATTCAACAACTTTTCTATCTCGTGATATCATGTCAAATTCATTCAAATCTAGCATATCTGTCATTTCTGTTTGGCTATATATAGCCGCTTTATTGTTCCTATATCCCAATACTTTTTTACCGTTCATATTACCTCTATATCCTACGTTCAATTCATGCCCCAGCCGCGCACTCGTCGGAAAACAAACGCCCGGTCGTTCTTGAGTCCAAATTCAGCCCAGTCGTCAGTGAGCCTGTTGTAACTCCAATAGCCCTTCCAGGCCAGCTTGGTGTTCTTGGACGGGTTGGGTGGCGTCATGTTAGCGTTGGTAGGTTTGGGAGCTGACACCGACCGAAGCGAGAGGTGCAAGAGGTACATGTATTTCGGTCCAACTCCCTCGGTTTCAATGACCAGGTCGCGAGGGTCAGGTGGCGCGCCTGCCGATTGAGCCTTGACGGGCAAAGATTCGTATCCGGAGATAAGATCGTCTTGGGGAACGTCGTCGGCTGAATCAGAGGCGGGAGCCGGTTTGGCCAAGCGCCAGCGACCTCGGTAAGCTTGCCTCAGCGCACCCATAGCAATGGGAGGAATGGTATCGGTAGGACCCGTAATGGTATTGCCTGGGTCTGCCATTTGACGATGGAATTGCTTCTGGGAAATTGCCCGTGCAGCCTTGACGTTCTCCTTGCTGATGTAGGGCACAACCTCCAATGGCTCGACTGTGGTAAGTAGGTAAATGACTGTCCCGTCTGGGTAGAAGCGGAGATAGCGGTAGTAGGTCACAATGTGGATGGGGCTGTTCCACGAGGTGTTCTGGTACACCGAGGCTGCACCTGGACGGGTGTAGTTCACAGTGCTTATGTAGATGCCCGTAAACCGAATCCGAGGGAATATCTGGAATACTTCCGCCCAGGACGATAATGGTTCCGGGATTTGAACGGGCATTGATCGAGGAAAAGGCGTGTAGCGTGGCCCTAAGGTGTACTCCGGTATGCCATGGACATCACAAGCAAATGAATAGTGCATGGCCTTGAATCCGAACTCGGAGCCCTGGCAAAGGCGTTTCCAGATGTGCTGCTCATGTGCAAAGTGATATGCCAATCTCTTACAAACGAGCGCCATCCGACAAAACGAGGCCGGATCTATCACAGCCACATGCCTCAAGATTTCGACCAGCACCTCGGACGGGACCTTCGAGATGGGACAAGGGGGCGGAGGAGTATTTTCGATCAGGGGCTCGGCCTGCGGGATAGGAAGATGAGCGAATGAAGCGATGAGTTCCGGGGTGGGTATAATTTCGGGTTCATCTGCAGCTGGTTGTGTTGCCGTGGCATTGCTGGCCGCAGCATTGGCAGCAGGTGGCTGCGCACCCTTCTTCCATGCCCAGGCGAAATGCTTGTTTCTGTACGTCTTGTCGACCGCTGCATCTAACTGTACCCAGCATTGTCAGAGAGAGCTCCCTTGATATAGCGAAGATATTTACTTACGCGGTAAGCTTTGCGATAATGTTGCAGACTGTCTCCGAGATTCCCCTCGGCTTCCTTCTCGACCGCTCTTTCAAAGTGCTCCAATGCAGACTTGGGCTCACTTCGAGGTACTCGCGAGTGAAACACATCCTCATCCGCTACCCCTAAGCTCAAATGACCGACTCCATGAACAATCTCACTATGATCGACCGATGCCACTCCTCCGTCTTCCTCTTCCCTGCGCTCCGATACTTCGTGGTGGGTAGGCGGGATATGGCTCGACGAGGTTGCGGTGGGCTTGGTTGGCCTGGGCTGCGCTGGTTGAAGTCTCGATGGCTTCACCCGGCGCGCAACTTCTTCACGCCACTGGCGCCGAAACGACTCGAGTTCCGCGTTGTCCTCCATGGCCGCTAGGGGAGTTGGTTGCAGTGGGTGCGGCGGCGATCTGGGTCCGCCGCGATTGATAAGCAATTATCTCTCGGGCGGGACCTGGAGACTCGGCGACTAAATGGACAGAGGGAAAGCAGAGAAAGGAAAAGGAAAAGGTAGGAGAGAATCCAGAGTACGACTTCAACACTCCATTGTAGGTCTTTTTTCCCTTCACAGTCTAACAAACGACAAAGCAGTCAGATACTGTGTCAGTGGAAGAGGCAAGAGAAGGGCGAAAGAGAACCAAGTGCTTATCTCCGGCACTTCCATTCAAGCTGTTCGGCTCCACGCGCCACCGCCAAACCTTCCGAGCCCCGATCGCTCTTTTTCTCTCTGACGCATTTGCTGCCCCCCTCTGACGTCTGCTGAAGATCCCTCCCTTCCCACGCCATCAATCCCCATAGCGATATTTAGCAGCAGAGGCGCGCGTGCACAATTCATCCGCATCTCTATCTTCTTCCTATCCTCTGCCGTTGAATGAATGTCCGCTACCACAACTGATATTGCGCCCGGGGACCGATATCGCTCCGACGGTTTGAGCGGCACTGTACCCACGAACAATCTCGCAGAGTCATGGCCATCAGTTAAAAACACTATCTCAATGGCGGCTACATCTGGAACGGGCTCAGTTCCGGCACCGAGCGCCATGCAGCAGACGGAGGATGTCTCGATCGCCCAGAGGATGGTTTCGGCCACCATCGGCAGTTTCCTCACGAATATTCTAGGTAGGCAAGGTTGTGACTGGGTTTCCAAAGCGTGCGATGCTAATATTGCTGTCTAGTTACACCTCTTGATGTCGTTCGAGTTCGTCTACAGTCTCAGTCGCTGGTCAAAAACACATCGCCCTTCAACTCACACACACTGCAAACCCTGAAGAACGCTCCCCCCAATCTTGGAGTAACAGCTTGCTGTCGAGAAGTTTTTTGGATTGGCCAAAATTCTCAGATATGTATGGTCGGACCTGAGGCCGGGGCTTTGGGGGCTACATCGGTGGCGGATTGCGCCGTGGAAGAAACGCAGCGCAAGACGTTTACATCGACCTTGGACGGATTGCGGAAGATCGCACGGAATGAGGGTGTGCTCACCCTCTGGCGCGGGCTTAGTCCTACGTTGATGATGAGCATTCCAGGGAACATCATCTACTTCGCTGGATACGACTGGCTGCGGACCGATGACAGGAGCCTGATCAAGCGGTGGTTTCCTGACGCCTACGCTCCTTTCGTTGCAGGCTCCGTTGCCAGAACCACAGCAGCATCTCTAATCAGTCCCATCGAGATGTTCCGAACACGTCTGCAAGCTACTCCTGGCACTGGGGCGGGTCATTTCAAGGCTACCCTAGAGGGTCTTTACCATATGGCTCAAACGCAAGGTTACAGTTCGCTATGGAGAGGGTTGACGCTTACCATGTGGCGTGATGTGCCCTTCTCTGGTCTCTATTGGTGGTGCTATGAAGAGGTCAAGAAATATCTCGTTGAAACGCGCAAGAGATCCTACTTGCACGGCCTGCCACACGGGTCCTCTGCCAGCCAGCACCATCTACACGACCTCGATACGCCGACCTTCTTTGACAGCTTCTTCGCGGGCGCTAGCTCTGGATCCTTGGCCGCATTTGTCACTACTCCGTTTGACGTGGGCAAGACTCGCCAACAAGTTTTCCGACACATGGGTGATGTGCCAGGCTCCGCGGGCAATGTTCCCGGCGGAGTCCTTCATCCCGAACAGCTTCCCCTACCGAAATTCCTGCTACACATTTTCCGTGAGGAGGGTATGGCAGGACTTTTCCGCGGATGTGTTGCACGCTGCTTGAAGGTAGCACCAGCTTGCGCCATTATGATCTCAACGTACGAGTTCGGCAAGAAGATGGCACGGGGCGTCAACGAGAGGAGTCGCTCTGCAGATGAGTGAAACAGAAAAAGGAATTCATCAATCCACCTCTCCACAAAAGAAAAGATACTTCTATTCCTTGGATATGGCTCGACATATACCGGCGTTCTCGATTACAGGAAGACCCGAAATACCCGAAGCTTGATCTCAAGCAGCTTGCATTTTTCCATTACTTGCAGAAATCAATTGTTTCTGTTTCATTGCATAAAATCGGCGTGCACTGCGTTTTTGCCTCCTGGTTTCTCATTCATGTCTGATGATACCGAATTGTTCCCGATAGAACTTTCCTTTGCAGTTCTTTCTCTGTCTTAACGTTCTTCTCCCTCGCCTTAAATA